CCCCCCCCCCCATCACGTCTCTCAGATGACTGGCATGGACCAACACTCGCGAAACATGAGCATGGACAGCGCTGGTAGTGGATCGCACTACATGCACCTGCCCCCAATCAGCGGAGGCTACGGTGCTCACGGCGGCAACGCTTCTAGCACAGCTACTGACAGCTCCCACAACACCACAACTGCTAGCCACTCGTACGATGGTCAACACAGGTCTCCTCGCTTGGCAGGCCAGGCTTACGGCGCAAATTACCCACAAGGAGCTGGCTATCCCCAAGGATACGGACAGGCTGGCTACCAAGCGGCTGGATACGGTTACACCGGACCGCACCAACACCAAATGCAATACGGCGCTCCACAAGGCTATGCCGGCTACCCTTACGCGCACTATCCCCAGCAAGGAGTGCACCCGCACCATGCTGGAACAGTCTCAGGTCAGCATGGTCTTAACACTGCCGCATTGACAGGTCAAGGACAAGCCGGTGTCACCCCTGCCGCTGCTGGCGCTGCTGCTGCTGCAGGTGGTAAAGCTGATGGCGCTGCTGCGACGGGCAAAAAGCCCAGAGGCAAGAAGGCCCAAGCGGCTGCCGCCGCCGCTGCTGCAGCTGCTGCTGCACCTCCCCCGCCAGTCGCCCCAGCCAGTGGCAAAGCTTCTGGAAAGAAGTCCACGAAGGCCGCTAAGCAGGCCGCTCAGCCATATCAGGCCCCTCCGCCTCCCGCTCCTGCGCCAAAAGAGGCCAAGAAGCCCAAGGAGAAGAAGAAAGAAGAGAAGAAACGTGAGTGTCCGCCTGATCTACGACTCGCCTTTACGCACAGCTGACTTGAAGTGCTTGCCTCATCGACAGCTCCCAAGCCTCTGAGGTCGAAGCTGAAGCCGCCCAAACAAGCACCCTCGGCTTGGCAGGTGTACTTTACCGAGGAGCTGCAACGCATGAAGGCAGACAATCCTGGACAGCGCCTAAATGTCGCGCACGTCGCCAAAGACGCTGGTCAGCGATACGCTGCGCTACCAGACTCGAAGAAGAAGGAGTTCCAGGACAAGTCGCACGAGCTCAAAGTGGAGTGGGAGCGTGACATGGAGGTCTGGAAACAGACTCTCACGCCCGAGGATATCAAGCAAGAGAATGCGTACCGAACAGCGCAGAGGAAAGCGGGCAAGAGCCGCAAAGGAAATCTGAAGGACCCGCACGCGCCCAAGAAGCCGCTCAGCGCGTACTTTTTGTTCCTTCGCGCAATCCGTGCCGACCCGCGTCTCATGCAGTCCGTCTTTGAGGGCGAGACGGAGACCACCAAGCAGAGCGTCCTTGCTGCATCCAAGTGGCGCAGCCTGTCCGACACGGAGAAGCAGCCGTACCTGGACAAGGCGGAGGCGGACAAGGCCAATTACGAGCGAGCTCGTAGAGAGTATGACGAGGCGAATGGCATTGCACCATCTGCGCCCAAGAAAGCTCGATCGGGCAAGAAGGAAGAAGCCTCGTCTGCAGAGGCCGACGAACAGTTGACGGGCATGAACGATGCATCCCCTTTCAACCAGATCGAAGGCTTTGCGGACAGCTTCCCCAACGTCGAGGAGCCGTTCAAGGTCGGCGCATAATCTCAAAACGCGCTCGCGGCTCCTCTTTCTCCCTCTTGCGCTTTGGCTTTCAGCGTCGACTCTTCTTTACGCTGTGCTGACGGAAAATTTGGCTCCGCACCTCACTCTATTGTATCACCTCCATCGTGTGTTTTTTTGGGATACCTCCTTGTTCTCTTGCTTCCGCTGGCTAGAGCCTGCTAAGTCGTCCCACGCCTTTCGAATCAAGCCTCTTATGTTCCATGCGACATGCTTTCTGGTCGATGGCGCTTTTCGCGGCCTGAGCAAGAGGGGCAAAGTCGTCGCATTTCTGGTGCGGTCATCGATTGCAGGGACAATTTTTTGGATTGGACCCACGCCTACATCACAGACCTTGCAGCGACTTGTTGGAACCCTCGCCTTTGATCCGGCCACTCATGACATGCCCCCCACCCCTTTGGCCCTACCTCCACCCTCCTCGCGTCGCGTCTTTTACACACCGAGCCTTGCTCTGTACCAACGTACGTACCGGAATACGATTTCTTAGGCTTTTCCTTCTTCTCCCGAAGCAGTGATGCTTTCGTTCACACTTTGTTTTGTGCGCCGCGAACGAGACTGTGACGATCGATGCTGGGCTTGGTGGGGATGGGCGCCAATTAATTGCGAAGATGCAGACTTGCGCGTACAGCAGATGCTCGCGTTGAAATCACGTCCATATATGTTCCCTTTTGAGCTCGTCGATCGTGGGTCGGTGCACGTGGATAGAGCTTTCGTAGCGTAAACCCCCCCAAAAAGAGGGGGGCACGCGGTTCACAAATGCGTTCACGGCTTCGCGTGCTTGGCGAATCGGGAAGCGGGGTGCGAGCAATTACGAAATGATGAAGATTAGATGCTGGACGCGAGCGACGGACGCTCGTGACGACGGACGCTCGCGGAATGGCGGATTGGAAAGCTGCTGCTGCTATGCTGCGTGGTGACGATGTTCGCTGCTGCACGCTATCATGCACTCTGACTTGACCTGCGCCAGGTGGGGTGTCGTCTGTCCCTCGCCTCGACGAGCCAAACACATCGGTCTCTGCACATGTGCACTCCATGCGCAGGTGCGCAACGTTACATTCACGTGATTTCGATTCGTGATGCTTGCCCGGCCGCCGCCCCCCTTGAATCAAGAATTGAATTCATCAGATTCTTGATTAGGAAATTTGCGGATCTCGGAAGCTGTAAGTTTGGTGCGGATGCGTGATGTGATGCTTTGCATACATGTATGCATGAGTCCAGCAGCACTGACCCACACTCACATGTTTGGTGTTCTGCGCTTGCATGCATGTACACAGACGACTCTGCAAAGGGGAGGTGATGGCGGCGCGCGCGCGCGCGCTCAGCCACAGCTTGGGATCACTGCACCGCACTCAAGCAGTCACGAGTGTGAACAGTGGCTTGTTGGGCAGAGAAAACGTTTCCGCTGCAACGACTTTCCACCTCCCGCAATTCTGTCTCTCTCAAAAAGCAGGACCCACTCGACTCGCAATGAACCACAGCTGCTGCTGCTGCCTGCTGGATGTTTTGTGGGATTTTTGTGCATACAGGAGTTACGCGCACTCACGAAGAATGTTTGCCAAAGTTGGATTGGACAAGTTTCCTCCATGCATCTCGAACTATCCTCACGCCCGCTCCTTTAGGCCTGCTTTCGCTCGTCGCCTGCCGTGCTGGCGGCAAGACTTGCGCTTTCACAAGCACGCCTGAGCGATGATGAGCTAGCTAGCTAGCTAGCGCAGGGCGGACATTGGGGCGCTTGGGGGCAGCTGAGCAGCGAAGCGAAGCGATGCGATGCGTGGAGCCTTCGTTGATCGTCGATCAACGTTTCCCCACACTTGCAGCATAAAAGTACAGTAGCGCTCCCCGAGCGGCCTATGCAGCATGTGGCCGAGGTGGGCAGGAGAGCGCAGTCATTGTGCCTGCCTGTACCTATCCTTTTCAGGGTCCAGCGTCAGCTAGTCAGCCCTTCAGCTCTGAGAGAGAGAGATAGAAGAGAGAGATAGAGAGAGACTTTCTTGCCTCCTTCTCGATCTGTCAGACTGCGACTGTTCGATTGGTCTGGTTTCTGCTTCTCTGATGCCCCCTGCTGAGCTTCTGCACCTGCCAGCCGCTCGTAAAGCAGCTGGCCGCACGTTCCGAATTCTCGTATGACTGGCTTCAGAGCATGAAGAGAGAATCCGACCGGACCGTCAAAACAAACGCAAAGGATGACCAGTACCAGGGGGCCACGGTTGGTGGCTTGCGGGGCCCCGCAGCCTCGCGCGGTCCTGCTCCCCTTGTGGCCCTCAATGCGTGCTCTGACGTCGCTTAGCGTCCGAACGATTTGGCTCAACGGCACCCCGCCAGAGCTCTTGAACTACACACAATGATGAAGGTTCCCTCCGCTGCTGGCCATGCACGATCCCCCCCCGCACTCGCTTATAAGCCCGCTATCGCACAGACTGCAACAATGATTGGTGCGTTTTCGCTAGCCGAGTCAGCAGAGCAGAGCAAAGCATGGGAGCCGTTGTGCGCGAGTCTGAGTAGTCAGCAAATATAGATCCACGTATATTCGCATTGTTTGCCAAGGTGTCGTGCCGTTGCTTTCTGCTTGCAGCATGCGCATGGATCCAGACATCGCAAAGATCGACGAGCAAGTCACGTCGAAGGTGTCAAGTCAATGTGCGTTCGTGCTTGACCTTCACACTTGCCGCTTGCATGACCCGAAAGAGCAAGTCAAGAGGTCAAGCAGCACGAGCTTCTGCCGATAAGCACGACGTCAAAAGGTCGGTCACGAGCGCAGACCTGTTCACTTTCTACGTTTTGAAGTGTGCATCCGAACGTCTTCCAGTTGCCAGAGGCTTCGCGCGCGTTGATCACCATTCGCAAGCTGCCCCGAGCAAACAGAGCAAGGCGTTCTTGATTCCTCATTCGACCCTTGACGTCCCTTTGCAACACTCTGACTCGGACTGCATCCAGGGACGCCTCTTGCGCCTGTCGTGATCAGCACCGCTCGAAAGCTTGGAACGCTATGAAACACGGGCTTCATCGAAACAGCAGCAGCACAGGGAGCAGCACATCTGCTTCTACTGCTGCTCCCAAAACTCCCGAGGATCTGCGTGCAGGCGAATCCTTTTGGTTTCCAAAGACTGCATCGATGGAAGGGTCAGGTGCAAAGGCTTCCTTGCTCATGCGTTCGGATATCGCCACGGCGCCCTCCATTTCGCGCCACGATGCGACGGGCAGCACTTTGATGGGGAGCGCACTTTCGGATTCTGAAGACGAAGAGGCAGGCAGCGCAACACAGTCAGCCGAAGCTTCGACGTCCACTACGAGTCGAAGGAGGTCGGATTCGACGAACAAGTCGAGCGCCACCAGCGCCGCCCTCAACGGCGATGCTGATAGTGCGGTCCGAGGTCTGACTCGTCGCGGTCGACCTCGGAAGTTGTTTCGCTATCTAAAAGATCTGGGAGAGGTGCCGGGCGTCGACTTGAGACCTGTATCTGCGTATGACCCTAAAGATGGGAGCAGCGTCCCTTGCTCGCCCCCAAAGCGTGAGTATGCTTGCTGCTTTTGCGGTGCGCGTTGTGAGAGAAACGTCGCGTTGCTGACGCGCATACCGATCATTAGGCGGAGCTTCTTTGGTGGATGATGGAAATGGCTTGAAACGTAGACGCATAAAGAAGGTGAGCGTGCCGATGCGAAAGACGAACCACGCCTGTTCTACTCACCCGCTTTGCGATCGTTGCTGCCAGGTCGCAAAGGCTTGCGTCTTTTGCAAGAGGAGTCACATGACCTGCGATGATGAGAGACCATGTAGAAGGTGGTGAGTGTTCGAGCGAGACTTGCGCTCGACCGATCGTTGAAGTACAGGTTCGCTATACTCCAGTCACAAGCGGGGAATTGCGCACATGTGCGCGGACGAAGAGCCCATCGCGACTGCGGCTGCCATCGCAGGACCTAGTAGTCCGCCGCCTGACGTGGAGGAACATTCGAAGAAGACTTTGAGAGGCAGGAAACGGAGATGCAGCGCTTCTAACGCAACCAATGGACAACCCCAAAGCACCGCCGAGGTCAAGAGGACGAGCAGGCGCAAGACGCTCGAGCCAATACCATCTCGTCCAGCATCACCCGTGTCCTCTCAGGTCGGGCCCGAAACTGGCGACAGCTCTAGATCACGAACTTCGAAAATAGCTCCGAGCGCTGTGCTCATGCCAGCCTTGACTCGCGACACTCCGAAGGAAGATGAGGCCTACTTTGGCAGCGTCGACTTGGCACACCTAGCCAAGACGAGCTCAGATCCGAGTTGCTCCCAGATGCCCTCGCACGCCGCCCGGCACGTCGGTGTTTCGTCCAACGTGGAGAGGCTAGCTCCAAGCGACCCTGCTCCTCTCCTCTCGTTGGATCAACTCTCACCCAATGGGCAACTGCAAATCCCAAGTGGCGAGCTGTTTTGGGCAGCTTTCCCACAGACAAGTGGAACGTCCGCCTCGGGTCTAGTGGCAGGGAGCGGTTTGACGCCGGGTCAGTTTGGTTTTGGGGTCGGAAGCGGTTTGACACCTTTTGAAACGTACTTGCGCGAGAATTACCGCGAGCCGATAGGTGATCTACTGCTCACTCCGGGAGCTATGGCGCCTTCAGGCCAAGCGAGGCAACAACAACAACAACAACAGCAGCACCATCTCCAACCACCGCTCTTGACTCCTTTGGGCAGCTTTCGCATCAGCGATGGCTCTTTGCAGAATGTACCAACCTTCACTCAGCTCGATGGTAACACCAGCAAGACCGCGTCGCGAGGGTTAGAAAGCGGACGTGAAGCGTCCAATGCCGAAGCTACTGGACCGAACATTGCGTCTACAGCAAGCGCTGATGCCGGCGCAACGCTCGCCGCATTTGGGACCGGCTTGCAACAATATGCAGCGCTGAAAAAACCATTCACCTTGTCCATACCCTCAACAGCCACTGCCAAGGCGTCCGTGTCGCAAGTGGAGCTAGCCGATGGGGAGGCGAAAGAGTATGAGCACCTCAAGTCTAGAATCGCTTCAGCTTTGACGTCCGACCAGCATCATGCATGGTCTTCCGCCCTTCAGGGCAGAATGGCACGAGCCTTGGAGAGCCTTCGAGGTGCGATCTCAGCCAAGATGATGGGATTGAACGAGTCGGAGACGCAAAGACTGAGCATCGACTTTGCGCGAGTGCACGCACATTACAAGCACGCTGTGCTGGAGAGCGTGTCCGCACCCATGCTGCTGCTCACCAGATGGGGCCGTGTATGTGGTAAGTGTGATCGTCCCGCGAATTTGCATAGCAACGCTTGAGGTCCTGATGTTGATGCCGCCCCTCCCTGCGCTACTGCAGACATCAACTCGCATCTAGTTGACCTGCTGCGACTAGACGCTTGCCAATTTGATCTGTCGATTGTAGGCATGGAGGACTTTCTGTGTCCTGGATTGGCAGTACATATCTTTGAGGTCAGTCGGCACCAGTCGAGCCGCGTCGTTGTCACATTCGCTGACGTCGAATTTGCTTGACGCTGCAGCACTACGCAACAGTGCTGCAAAGCCCCAAGACGAATGAAGCGATTCGAGCGACTGGCGACATCGTGTCGCCCGCAGCTCGAAGGTACGCTCTGGACAAGTCGAGGCTTCCCCGCAGCACGCCGGCACCGACGATGACAGGTCGTGCGCGCACTGCCGACGAGGATGCCGCGCTCGCGAGATTGGTCGGTGGTGTACCTTGCGCCATCTCCTTTCAGCTCGTCTGCTCCGCTCATGGAGTCCCGCTGATGGGCGTGGCCACTCTGCTACCCATCGAAGCGCGAATCTCTTGAAGAGCCGTATCTCCGCCCCTGGGAGCCCCAATGCAAATCGCGCTACTTCTTTCGGCAAATTTTTCTGCATTCTCTGTGCTCTAGCAGCTCTCTGTACTTGCGAATATTGTATTTCTTCCGTTGGAACCGACACTCACGCTTCATGGACGTGCATCCACAGCTTTGCCTTGACGGTCCTTTGCGCACGCGTCGCAGCAATCCCGCCACAAGTGCAGGGCGGTCTGCTGGCAAAATCTTCTTTGGGAGCGAATTTTTCTGCCCTGTCGTGCATTCTCCTACCTCAAGAGTGCCGTGCGATGACGACGTGGATGGATGGATGGATGCGTCGAGCGGCGTTATCGACTCTCCTCGCGCGTGACACGAGCGGGCTCTGCATAGCATCACGCGTCACGGTTGTGAGTCACGAGTGGTGAGATGTGCTTGCATGCAAGTCGTTGCCGTGCCGTGCCGTGCCATGCCATGCCACGCTTGCTTGCTCTCGTGCCTCTTTGTCGTTGAATCCAGCCTATCACGCCTCCATCTCGTCGTCTTTTGCGAGGCGACGGAGTATTGAAGAGCTAAACACGAGATGATGCAGACGTGTATGCGGCCAGTCGGCTGCGAGCGAGCGAGCATGTAAGCGTGGGGTCGATCCTGGCTCTCCTTTCGCAGCTTCATCCATAAAAGCTTCGTCAGAGTCAGACTACAAACCGTGTGACCTGAAAGGTCTTCAAGCATGACAGGCAGCTAGCTTTCACCCACACAGCTGCGCTTCATGGACGAAACCTTGCTCCACTCACCCAGCCCGACCACCGTGCGGTGTCCAGCTCACAGATTCGTTCATTCTCGCATTCTCGGCCATGCCCGTTGCTGAGCTCATTCATGGCTAGACTCGCTCTCAAACGGCATCTCTTTGATGGGTATCACAATTTGGGCGGGTCGAGTGCTGTGCGTGTGTGCTTGACGATGGTCATGTATGCGCGAGATCAATGCGAGGGGTTCTCTTGAATCGTGAATGCGTGTGTTGCGTCTACTCGGTGGGTCCTTTCTGAACGCTTGGGATAAACACGGCTTTCTATACCGATGTCTCGCTCGAGAGAGCAAGTCTCTGCTCTGGTCAGCTCGTGTGCTGCCTCGTGTTGAAGCCGAGAATGATTGGGCGATCGGAACTGTAGGTGGCGCGAATCGGGAGTTCTGCCCCTGAGCTTCGATCAGTGCTCCAATTTTGTAGCAAATGTTGTAGCAGCAGCAGCAGCAGCAGCCGCCGCTTCCCTGTGCTCATCCTCCGAACGAGCCGTCTCCTCGTTTAAAAATGGATGCCTAAGTGCCAGCTTTGCATCGTACCTGCGCGTCAAGTCTAGCTGCATCAATTTCCTGCACAGATCGATCGCTCTCTCCACCTCTCTGATGTATTGCGCAGGATCCGGATGGTCGAGTGGTGCTTCGTAGATGTCAGGGTTGAGATGCTGCACGAATTCCGGAAGGCGGAAGCCGTCTCTAGTAGGATCGCGCTCCAGGGGGTTGAATGTCCCCGGAAGATTCGTGTAGAACGTGCGGTCTGCGAAAAGAAGCAGCGTGAGTGTAAGAGACCGTTTCTCCCTCGCTTTTCACCTCAAAATTGCTCATGCTCACTGTGCAGAAGAGCGACTTGCTCGATGCGCTTCTTACCAAACATCATCATCAGCTCCAACAGAGCTTCCGTGTCGGTGTTGGCGTTGAACAGTGGAAAACGCTTGATGAGGAAGCATAGCATCAAGATGCCAACGGACCAAGTATCGATGGCTAATGCGGTCAGTGGGCGATGCGTGTCAGCTAATTCTACACGCTGCCGTATCCCTGTCCCGAGCTCCCTCACTCACCAGTCGTCTGATCTTGGCACTTCAAAAGCACCTCGGGAGCGCGGAATCCGCGAGTGCCCGCACGGTTGGCCTGTATGCTATATCTGTTGGACAATCGATCAAGCAGCGCAAGTCTTCGGTGTTCAGCGCGAGCGCTTTCCCAAGTCTATTCCCAAGTTCTAGGCTCCAAACTCACCGAGCATCCTCCTTGAGGTACCCTACTCGCTCAGGAGGCCCCATTTTGCCCTTTCCACCAACGTTGGCATTGTGCTTCGCCGAGAGACCGACAGAGCTCCTCTCCGGAAGCGCCTTGTAAGGTCCGTTCATATCGTCCAGCAGTCCTCCGGGAGAGAAGTGCAAGGAGGGGACGTCGAGGTTGATCTTGATCTGGCCATGACGGAAGTAGCCCTCGGGTTTCGAGTGGTGACACTTGCCTCGCCAGCGCCTATAGTCGAGCGTCTGAGGAGCAACAACACCAAAGCAAGGTCGTATTGAGCTGAGATTGTCAATTTCGGACAGCATGCATGCGCTCACCTCTGCCAATCCGAAATCGCACAGCGTGCCCTCGCCAGTGTCGGGATCGTACAGAAAGTTGGCTGGCTTCACATCTCGGTGGACAATACCAAGTAGATGCAGACCTTCGAGAGCCTTGAGTAGGCAAGTCATATAGCACTTGAGGTCCGACAATGGCATCTGGCGATAGTAATCCTGAAGCGAGGCGCGCAAGCAGGCAGTGTAAGCAGCCTCGTCTCAAATGCGATCCTTCAGCTCGCTACTGACTCTGAAATCACGATTGCGGTTGTAGGGCATGACCACGATGACTTGGTCCTCTGATCGGAACGCGGTGATGAGGTAGGCCAGGTGACTTCGGTCCCTGCAAGGTGGGGCAAGACGGTGCAGGTCAGTGCCTCGGGTCTGGCTCCACCCGCTGTATGCGGGAGAACAGCACTCGCCTGCATTTCGCCATGATCTCGAGCTCGTTCAGGATGCGACTGGGACTGCTCGTGACGTATATGCGCTTCAATGCAACGTAGTGATTGCGCGCTGGCCTGCCAGGCGCCGTAACGGGAGCTTGCTGGTATGGGTCCGCATTGCTCCAGCTGCGATTGTCATAGACGTAGTGATGCACATCGATCGCCTTGTAGACGGAGGAGAAGGTGCCTGGGTTGGAAAGATATCGCGATGCGGCGGCGAGTGTTAGCTGAGCTCATGCGAGATGGCGGCCATTGGTCCGATGTGCGGTCTGCCCACCTTCGCCAAGTTTATCCACGATCGAGTAAAAGTTTTCCAGACCCGACACCTTGTCATACAGCTCTTGAACTTCCACCTGCAACCTCTCTGCCTCCTCATCCGACCTAAAGACAGACTCTGAGCTGTCAGATTGCACGTTCTCCTCCTCCTCCTGCTCAGCTTCTTGATAATCATCCATATCGCTCTTATCCTCATCGTACGCCGAGTCGCTAGGGGCATACACATCTGCTTCGCCATGTGCGCTCGGCACAGGAGAGATGGTAGCTTGTCTGCCAGAGCGTATGCTGCTCGCAGCCGATAAGGCCGGCGAGTGGTAAGGCGACACATCAGCGTCCGCTTCCATCTCGGGCGCTGGATCTTCCAAAGAAGGTCCGCGTGTATGCGACTCGAAGAGGTGAGGTTGTTCGTATACAAATTTGAAAGGGCTGACTGCTCGGGAGGCGGCTCCTCCCTCTCCTCCTGGATCAGGCGTTGCTCGATCCACACGCGCTGTACGCGATCCTGAGGCCTCGCCAAGTCTTTCAGCGTCCATCCTAGTTGACACAGCCGCACCAGATTCGTCAATGAGCTTTCGCGCGCCTGTAGGGGATTCGCAGCTCGGTCAGGCGCTACCGCGCACCAGCCAAGGTAGCCGAGGCACCGGCACGGTAGTTCCCAATCTTGCGTACAAGGCGAGATGAAGGTCGGGTCTGGCGAGACTTCTGATCTCGGCTGACGCAGATACCCTGGAAACCTGCAGCAGCAGGCAAGCGGGCGTGGTCAAGGGTCGGAGGGAACGTATGCAAAGGATGAGATCGGCGTGTAGATGTGAACGGGCTCTGCGCACGAGCGATATACTCTCATCAGGCAGACGTGACAATCAGACATGTGGTTGGCGAGGGGGGCCGGGGACATCGCTGCATGGATCTCCTCGACCTTCGATCTGCCCTATGCTTGATTTGTGCAGCGCGCAGCACGTCCCGCGGCGCGCGGCTGCATATGGGGAGGAATTTACGCGTGCAACGCACATGTCAAAGTGACACGACGGGGGCGCGCGTGTACGCGTTTTGGCGCGTCCACCAGGCAATCACGTGCAGCGGTGTTCGCTTCTTACGCTTCTCGATACCGGAATTGCGCAAGGAGCTTCAACAAAGGACGACGCAAGACTCTTGACATCGGGCTTGATGACTGGGCGATGGATCAAGTGCATCAAGGCATCGATTCCCACCTCGAAAATGTGTGACGTTTGAAGATAATTATGTAGACGGGAGTTCGCAGCACCACGCCATAGGCGTTTCGAGGGTTCAAAGGCGGGGGCCCACTTCCTCTGCTTGTTGTTTGCTTTTTGCTTTGCCAAGACGCGAGTCAAGAGTAGGCGCTCAAGGCGAGGAGGGGCAATAGGGGAAACAGGAGAATAGACAATCGAGGAGAAGAGAGTGATTAGATGACGAATGTTGATGAAGCGTGGCATGACTCAGAGATCTTCTTTGCGCCTGACATGCTGAGATACAAGCTGACGGGTGGGGGACGCAAGCATGATGGTGGGAGCGGAGCGGAGCAGATCAGCAAACGGGCACAGCACGCGAGTACGCCAGCACTCGAGGGAGCACAACGCACCTTTGCCATCGCGAAGGAGCTTTTCGGATCAAAAGGAGCAGCAAAAACTTGCGATTAGCATAGCATCTCTGCGGGCGACCAGCGCAGCACTACGCACTCCACCTTGGACTTTCCGAACAGATCCGTGAGCTTTGCGTCGCACAAGATCTGTGCCGGAGAGGCGTCAGAGATAGGTCGAGTCAGTCAAGCAGGTGGTTCCAACTGTGCTGCCCAGCTCTCACCTCTCTTCCATTCGTTGGGTTTTGCAAGCTGTTCGCCTTGATGTACTGCCAGAGCTTCTTGGTGATTTCGTATCTCGGCATCTGTGCACAAGCGTCGAAAAAGACAAGATGAGCGACCGGGCATCACAAAGAACTGAGTAGCGTCCCGGCGCGCCACACAAAGCTTCGAGTGCCTTTCTCTCTTGCCGCAAGATGGCCATCAGGACATTGTGAAGCGCGCTCCGCAGCTCTTAAAGCGCATACACGCTGCACACGCAGGCACAGATCGCCCTTTAAGCGTCTCGCATCCGCTCACCTCATCGCCGCCGCATATATCAGCCATTGCGGGACTGAGCAGAACGGGCCTGTTGAAGGGATTGTTGGGATTCTTTGCCTTTTCCGTTCCATCCGCATTCAGCTCCTTTTCCTTCTTCTTTCCCGACTTTGTCCCGCTCGAGCTCTTCCTCTTTTTTGCGCTGCCGCTGCTGCTCGACCCGTTGCCCACAACTCCCACCTCCTCCTCGCTGCTAATCACATCGTCCGACTTGCTCACTCCGCCCGACTTCTTCCGCTTGCCTCCGCCCGAAGATGAGCTGGTCCCGTTGGATCTTCGAGTGGAAGGACCAGATTCCGCATCGTATTGCTTTTGGAGGCGAGCTGCCATCTGCGCATCTTGCTCCGCTTTGACGCGGTGAGGAATGGTAGGCGCCGAAGAAGTGATGCTGGTGCTCGAAGAGTCGCCCCTGCGTCCCAGTCCAGGCAAGGCGATGCCTTGTTGCACCGCCGGTGCCGAAGAAGAAGCGGGCTGCGCGGCAGCAGCGGCGGCAGCATTGCCCAGAGGAGCCGCTCCATTCCTTTGACGTTCAGCATCCAGCAAGGCGAAAGCGCCTCTGATCTCATCATCCAAGGCCGATTTGTGAAGCTTCTCTTCCACATTCACGCCCAGCTGACCCAGCAAGCCGCTGTCTGCCAGCTGCGTCCGGACCTTTTTAGCGCTGATGCTCTTGAGATCAGACGCTCGCAGGATCCGGAGGATGGGCGCTCGCAGCGCTGCCAGGGTCTCTGGTGTCAGCGCAGACATTACAGCTTGCGCTTCAAGGTACTTTGAGAATTGGTGGAGTAGAGGTCGAGCTGGATGCGGTCAGATCGATGCCCGACAAATCCAGGAGCTGTTGCAGACGGACGCTAGACTGGTCCACGCTCGATGAGGGGAGGAGGTGGTCGATGGCGCAGTGCAAGAAGCTCCTCGAATAGGTAGCACGCCGTGATCGTCGAGAACTCTGCTCTGGACAAGTCGCCAACAAAGCAGCTCCTTGCCTCCACTGAACGACACCTCGCTTGCGCTAAGGTTTCGATGCTGCGTAGCGTCCAAGAGTAGCCGGGATGTGCGGTAGTAGTAGTAGTCCAGGGGCAAACACGCACGGAGTCCGAGTGACTGATGTGTAGAGCGCTCTCGGACTGATGTCTGTGTATCGGTGCGTGTGTGTGGATGTGCGTGCGCACGAGCCTATAGGTGCAATCACAATCACGATGACGAAACGGCGAGAGTGAGTCGCGAGTGAATCATGAATCACGAATAACGAATCTGAATGCATGGGGTAGAATCAATCAAGACGCCCACCTCCGCCGCTGCTGGATGGCCGAGTCCGATCGAGTCGAGTGGAAGCGCAGCGCAGGGAGCAGCGCACGCCGTTACGCCGTATTTCATGCAGTCGCGGGTCTTGAGTCACGAGTCGCAATTCGTGATTGCAGTCAAGAGTCAGAGTCAAAGTGACCATGCAGTCACGAGTCACGAGTCACGAGTCACGAGGAGTATGGCCGTATATCGCTGCTGGCTGCTGCATGCAGCCATTCGCTGTGACTGTTGTGACTGTGGCTTCCCGTGCGTACGTGGTCCATCCAGCATCCATGCATGCAAGTTACGAGTTCGAGTTGCAGTCACGAGTCTCATCACGCACCCGCCGCGCCGTGGGTGCGATCACTCAGCACACACCAGCCAGCAGCATGCAGCAGCGGATGCTAGCTCTTAATTCTGCTGCTGCTGCTGCTCGCTCGATGCGGCACGCTCCCTCGCCGATGAATGCTGCTGCTGCTGCTGCTGCTGCTGCTGGAGACGGCAAACGCGTTTTCATGACAGTGTGAGTCGTTGTTGACAGCCGTCGCGAGTGTGGCTTGTATCGGCCAGAAGAACGGGGCAGGGCTCGAGCTACTCATCAAGACGCAGGGCGCTCGGTTGACCCGATCAACATTCAAAATTGGACTTTTGCACATCGCAAAAGGGGGGTTGGTGAGATGAGAGTCACAGGCGCGCGCACGTACCGGGTATCGTGGTCCTCGTACATCCGCACCCTCGCTGGGAATCTGAACTGGTGTCGCACGACATCACAATGGCGCACAAGGATGTATCTGTACTTCGTATCGAGCATTCACAAACGAAGAAAGAGTGCATGTCGACAAAAAGGAAAAGCAAATACGAGACGAGTACGCGGCGTGCTGCGTGATGTGAATACCTCTTGATCTGCCACAGTGGGTTAATTTGCTCCAAGATCGGCGTGCACGCCCTCGTGCCGGAACGTCGACCAGTCTTGCATCGAGCTCGTCGCATCAATCCGTTGAGCTTGGAATGCGTCGCACCGCGTGGTCATCTACTGAGCCGCAGCTTTGACCTCCTTGTCCTTGTCCGCTCTGACTTCTTGAAGGATGCGCTTTCCTTCTTCCGTGTTCCAAGGTCCCGCATCCGACAAGCTGCATCCTTCGGGGCAGTTGCACGTGCCTCCAAGGCTAGCAGGCAGGTTCTCGGGCGGAATCTGTGCAAGAGCAGTAGAGGAATTAGCACAGCGTGATTCGCCGTTTCGCAACGCCCATTTACCTGCGTGCACTCACCTGCTCCGTCAACTCCTTTTCGTATCCACTGCCAAGGATTCTGATCTTCTCGACTGTCACCGGATCCAACCAGCCCTTCACCACGGACCAGACGGTGGTGAAGATGTACGGCGCATTCTGCAAAGGCGAGCAGACAGAATTAGCGATTCGTCCAAGCTCTGCGCGCACGTCTCTGCGACCCACAATGATGTAGAACTTGCCCATCGTCTCTGGGTAGTAGTGCTGGCCGATGTTGCTAGCTTGCTGCACGTAGGTGGAGACCTAGGTAGGGGGGGCCGATGATTATCATGAGCACGCTCGTATGCGCGTAACGCAGCCCTCCCGCGACGCACCTTCCAAAATTGACCCACGCCCACGTTCTTGAGGTCCATGATCGTGCAGCTCGTCTCGACGAGCTCTCCTCTTTCTTTGGACACCACCGGCAACCTCTCGCGTTGAAACTTTTCGTACTCCACAACGAGCTTCTGCAATTGCCTCTCGGGGGTGGTCCTTTGTTCTCCCCGAGCATGAGGCGGACAGGGTCAACTGGAGTTTGCAGATCGCCTGACTCGACGCATGACTCACACCTGGTACAACGCCCTAAGGTCCAATTTTCCAAGCTGCTCAATGTAGATTGGTCGCCCGTCCTGCATGATAAGATGGAATGATCAGAGGGCTGCCAGATGAAAAAGACATATCATGAAGAGCGCTCCATGACCCGCGCTGTGCGCAGTCCCCAAACATCAGCACTGCGCTCTGCTTTTCGCAGCGTCTCCGCGCCTAAGCATGTGAAGAGCATACCTTCCCGGTACTTGATTTGGTATGGGCCTGGACTTGCCACCGAATTCGCCATGTGCTCCAAACCGCCCCTGGAGAGCCCAAACAGCCCGCATACAAGCCAACCCCTGACCGATGTGTCCGACCAGCAATCGCACTCACATTGTCCGTCTTGTGGTAGAATTGCGGGTAGTATTTATCCACCTCTTGCTTTTCGGGGTACTCGAACTGGTGGTACAGCTCATCCACTTTGAATTCCTTTCTCCACTTTTCCGCAGCTTCGAACATCTCCAACGCTGCGTTCAGATCCCATTTGCGCGCTCGCAGGAAGCGGCACACTGGAGCATTGAAGGAGTGCAGGACCGCAAGAGACATCAGAGGTGCGTGCGTAGAGGGACGCGAAAGGCAAGACTTACTGCAAGCCTCATCGTGTCGAAGTGGGTCGTACAGGCCCTTCTCCTCGATCTACGGCAGCAGGAGGTGGGGCATTGGGTGCTTGTCAGCATGGACCGTTCTGAGAGCTGAATACACATCCATGCCGCGTCACGTTGCTACGTGTTGCGCTTCTCAGCCAGCGCGCGACCGAATGCTCTGTGAGCGCTGTCCAGCAATCACTCAAAGCCAGCCCCGGATCTGGGCAACTCCTCGCACGGCACCAGCCAGCCTCCACTATGCGCACGCATGCAAGATACGCACGATTTGCCTAAACTTCTTCAGCTGGTGCTGTTGTCCAGGGTCGAGGTGGCCAGGTCTTCCAGACAGGTGATCCTGAGCGTGCATCATCTTGAGCTCCTTTTTGCTGAGCCTGGAGGCTTTAGATGCCAAGGAAGAGTTGGATTTGGTTCGGAACATTTGTAGCGAACGAGCGCTCACGCGAGAGTACCAGCTGAGAGCCTCTGCCAGTGGGGCTCCTGTGGTCGGGTATGAGAAGCTGGAGGCGTGCACGAGGTGTAGTGAGACCTGGGCGTGCGCAGATGAAAGTCGCCAAAATGGGGCAGTGAAGCTACTCAGTGTCGTGCCTCGTGGGCGCTTCGGCAAGACGGTTGACAAGTCAGCTGAAGGTGTACACCAGAAGAGCAGCAGCAGTCTTCGTGTCCAGTCGGATGCGAGGCAATGAGGTGAAGGGACAGAGTAGAGGACAAAGTGAGGAGGCAATCCACGTTTCCTGGCGTCTAGGGCGGGCACTCTTCTCGATGACGAGGAGCTGAGCTGAATGACGAATCGAAATGGTCAATTGTGTCGTGTTGGACTTGCGAGAGGGCGAGTCTGAGTCTTGTAGCGAGGGTTTGGAAGTAAGCGTGCGACTCTTCAGACGTGCTCGAGTCTGATGAGTCGTGAGTGCGATGCGAAGTTCTGCCTCTCGGACCTTTGATTCCTGCGCCGTTGCCTATCACAATCAGAATCAGAATCACAGCCCCCTGCCTGCCTGCCTGATCGAAGCGTTTGACCGTCGCTCGGATCACATCTATACGTACACGCGCTGCGCGTTTGCTTGGATCGGCTCTTCGGCGGGCCACGAGATGCCCATCCACTCAGACCCACGATCCACGACTCGCGACTCCAACGACACCACGCACACGCTCAGCTAGCATATACGTGCCATGCCTGCATCAGAGAGTCATCCAGCAGTCAGCGCGCGAGCGCATCATCCGTCCGCGCGGCAAGGATATGGGCGCGGTGAGGCGCTTTTACAGTCAGGCAGCAGCTGCTGTGCGCATGAACGAGGCGTGCCTGCCTGCCTGCCCTCCTCATTGCTCGCCTCTGCGCGCGCGCCTAGCTGATGCGTTGCCATGCCGTGCCACGAATGACTATATACCATACAGCTCTGCTGCATGGTGGCTCGCTGCTGCGCTTCAACACGCGCCCATGCATGCGCCCCTTCCAACGTGCTGTGACGCACAAATTCAAAATCGACGCCCCTTTCTGTATGCATGCTCGATTTTTGATTAACAATTCCTGCATGTGAGAATAGACAGGCTATTGCCCGCAGCGGCGCCTAATGGTCAATGCACGGCGCAGCGATTTAGCTATGGAGACTCAAAAATCAAATCCTTAAAAGCGACCCAAAAGGGACCTTATTTGAATGTTCCTTGTCTGCACGCGAATTCCACAGCAGACCTCCACACGGGCACGTACGCTCATGCCGCACGGTGCTCGACCGTGACCACCATTCACAATTGAAGGGTGAAATAAGAACGGCCAGAGGAGGCAACGAAGCAGCCTTCAATTGGGCGCAGACCTCAAAAAGAAGACCATACGCCGGTGACACATCTACAGCGTGAAGACGGAGTAGCACTGATCACCATATCAAACAACAAGAACCGCAGGGACGTAAAGATCAGCTGCTCTCCTCATTCATTCCTTTGCATACCACGATGATGGCTGGCGGGGACGAGAATTGGGCACTGATCATCGTCGATGTTCAGGTGCGTGTCGTGCCCGTCCGTCCGACTCTGCCCGAATGACTTGGAGACTCCCGAATCGACTACTGACTTGCAAGAGCTGCCTGCATGATCCGCTGCTGCTGCTGGTGTGCACGTGTGTAGAATGACTTTATGGAAGGAGGTGCACGTGAGCGAATCTTGGCCGCGGTCATAGAGGCGGTCTGACTTTGCTGACGAGCTCTCCATATCCCATCGGCAGTGCAGGTATCACAAGCGTCGACCATTCTCGATCCCATCGACGAGCTGTTGAATGCGCCTCGAATCAGACTGGTAGCAGCGACGCAAGATACGCATCCGCCTGCGCACCTCTCCTTTGCCTCGACGCACTCCAAGCCACCTTTCACAAGGCACAATGTCCCGCATCCTTGCTTGCCAAGTGAGCACATTGAGCAGATGCTCTGGCCCGATCACTGCGTGCGAGGCACAGAGGGCTCCCAGTTTCATCCTCGCATCCAGCAAGCTCTAAAGCGACGCGCGGACGCTCACATCATACCAAAAGTGAGACGGGCCGTGCACACAAGCAGGCAGCTAGGCAGGCAGGCAGGCAGGTGGTATGCGCGCGCTGTCCTTGCAAGCTATGCTGATGTAGCTTTCCGCTCAACCTCGATCGCAGGGCACAAACATCAAAGTGGACGGCTACTCTGGGTTTGCGTGAGTGCGCAATCGAGTGCGGTTTGCCCCCCTCACGCATGCAATCGAGTGCTGGTTTCCCCCTTTTCCGTCCTTCGCTTCCGCGGCCAGCACTTACATACGCGCGCTTCACCCTCACACGCAAGCGACAACGCGTATCTCTCCTTCACTGAGCTTCCTCGTCTACTCTTTGAGAATCGCATCACACGAGTGGTGGTGGTGGGATTAGCGACGGACTACTGCGTCAAGGCGACGGCCATAGATGCTGCCAAGTTTGGTCTCAAGCCCGTCGTCGTTAGGCAAGCGACAAGAGGTGTGGATGAGCAAGATTCCCAGCAAGCTTTGAGGGAGATGAGCCAGTACGGAGCAGAGATCGTCCACTCGGCGAAAGATGTCATCGCACTGATGGCATAGCGTCATAGTATCCAATCTCGACATCGAGCTCCTCGAAATCGCCGCCTCTCAGGGGCCAAAGGAGTCAGCGGCAGAGCTCAGTCAGCATGCCTTGCACACAACGCTCGCACCCGTCTCGCGCACGTATGGCTGAGAGGTGAGCCACCAGAAGCGCGCCAGAGTCTTGACGCCTCGACTGGGACACCCAGTTTGAACGGCTCCTCTGCATCGTTGCTGCACAAATCTCGAACGCGCCTGAACTTTGAGCTGCGGAACGACCGCTCATACTGTTTCTGCTCCTACATGAGAAAGCGTGCATCTATTGTATTTGCGCGGCATGTATGCTATCCCTGAGCAATACATGCGCCGAAGATGGAGAGCGGCGCACTGATAGCACCACTCTCACAGGCGCTTGATGACAGCCTTTGTGAATTCGCGAGTGCCCAACTTGCCACCCAGGTCTCCCGTTCCTGTTTCGCAAAGGAATAGATCGCCCAGTCGAATCAGTGTGCATTCGAGCGGCGGTGCACCAGCGGCGCAAACTCACGGTCGCCCTCTGCGATGGCTCTAAAGATGGCGCTCTCGATCTTGTCTGCGTGGTCAAAGAGACGCATATGACGGAGCACTGCAGAGCGAGAGACGGGATGCGTCAGCTGCTGAGTTTGCGCACATCGTAGGCTGTCTCAAGATGGCTCACTCATGATCCTGTGTGAGAGCGAAAGGGAACGCGATCAGCGAGTCAGTGTGCGTTCGGGCGGCGATGCACCAGCGGCGCAGACTCACGAAGAGAGGAGCAACGCGGTTGGGTTGGCCTTGTTCTGACCAGCGATATCAGGACCCGAGCCATGCACAGCTTCAAAGATGGAAGCGTCCTTTCCAATGTTTCCAGAAGGTGTGAGACCCAGACCACCGATCAGGCCGGCGCACATGTCGGACAAGATGTCTCCGTACAGATTGGGCATCACCATCACCCGATCAGCATAAGGAGCAGGATCCTGCACGATACGCAAGCAGGCTCTGTCCAGGAGATCCTCGTCATATTGAATGTTCGGGTACTCCTTGGCCACTTGACGGCAAGCGTGCAGGAACATTCCGTCCGACATTTTCCTGCGCGTGCAATCAAGGCAGAAAAAGGTGAGCCCCTCATCTCCGTCCTCGCCCGCGCGCAGTGCGTCCCTCGAATGGCGCCTGCGACCCGATCGCCTCTCGCACTTACATGATGTTGGCCTTGTGGACCGCGGTGACACGGTTCCTCTTGTTCTGCTCTGCGTGATGAAAGGCGTACCTGGCTACGCGCTCGCTAGCCTCGAGAGTGATGAGCTTGATGCTTTGCACAACACCGTCCACCACCTCGTGCTCGATGCCCGAGTACTCTCCCTCCGTATTCTCCCTGATCAGCACCGTGTCTACGTTGTCGTATGGCGTCTTGTAGCCTTCCAGAGACTTGCAAGGTCTGACATTGGCAAAAAGGGAGAAGGTTCGGCGCAGAGTCAAGTTGAGGGAGACGTGACCTTTGCCGATGGGAGTGGCCAGGGGGCCTGCAAGGAAAGGGAAGCGGAGAGACGAGAGAGCCAGCATGAGTGCGTGTGCACGGGCGCACCCTCACTGCAAACGAGACTCACCTTTCAAAGCGACAGTGTTCTTTCTGATGCTCTCGATGGCCTCGTCTGGGATGCTCTGCTTTCCTTGCTTGTTGATGTACGGCGCTACGCTGACGTTTTCCCAGATGATGGGCACACCAGCAGCCTTGTAGATGTCATCCACAGCTTCCGAGATCTCGATGCCGATGCCGTCACCTCGAATGAAGCTGACAGTGTACTTGCCATTGACGGGCTCCTTTGCAAAGGCGGATGTAGGAGCAGAGGTGAGGGGCATCGTGGCCATGCAGCGCGAAGAGGTTCGCCATGCCGATCGCGGTGCTGTGCGCACAGCACAGACTGGCTGTGCGGCTGAGATGGCGTTGCGGGAGGCAGCGACAGCGCGCAGCATCGTGCCGCTGCTGCCACTTCGAATTGGAGCTGCGATCATTGTGAGGATTGTGAGCCAAAGCCGAGCCGAGTCGAGTCGAGCCGTGCGATAGCTATGTCAGTGTGGTGGAGCAAAAGTTGAAAAAGAAGCGACATCCGCACTCGTGACTGTGCGATGATGGAGCCAACAGCCAACCCAGCTAGGTGAGCAATCAAGGACGAGCGCGGCGCCGCCTATCCGTCAAATCTTTGACGCTGCTGCTGCTGCTACACACGCCCGTGCTGGACGGTGGGTGCATGGCCTCGCGCGCGGCTGCACCGACCGACGCGCGCGCGATACCGCGCGATCAGCGATCGAGCATGCATGCAAGCAGCAGCAGCAGCAGCAGCAGCATTTCTTCTTATGATGCACGCGCCGCCGCGTCTTGCGCTTCGTGCTGTGCGTGCGTGCGTGCATGCTCATTGCATGGGCTGGTGTTCAAGATTCTGCTCTCTGCATGGATGTGTGCTGCATCACGCGCGCGTCCCGCGTATGCTGCACGCTCACGCTCGCGCGCGGAAGCCACGGTAACGGCGATGCACCCGCCCGTGCTGTGCCAGCGCAACCGTGCGTGGAGAACATCACGTGTCGTCAACCACACCCTAGCAAAGCAAGACATGCGTAGGCGCGGCGTGCACGCCAAACGCGCATGTCGTGCATTGATGCATCATCACCTTTCTTGCCTCGACTCTCGTCAACTCGCATCGACCAAGCTGCTCGGCTCGCATGCTCACGACTGCGACTCATACGCACCGCCATCTCCATCACTCGAGCTCACCAACAACGGCGCTCATTCACGCATCGGCAACTCGACTCGAAGCCACCGCAGTAGCAGCGTGCATGACGTCCTCGCATCAAGTGACGCAGATCGCGCCAGTCAACATCCACGCTCCATCCACCAGCATGTCGGACAGCTACTTGTTCACAGTGGGCAAGCTAGATGCCGGCATGGCCATCTTGATCGGCGATCGTGCCAGTCTGATCGAGTTCCCAAGCTTGCTGCTGCCTCCCGACGTCACGAGCGGATCCATCGTCAATATCAGCGTAAAGAGGAACAAGCAAGAGGAGAGGCAGCGCAACGACGACTTTGATCAGTTGCAGCAAGACATTCTCTCCACTTTTGGTCTGCACTCACCGGAACGTGAGTCGTATGTGCGCGCGTCCAAGCGCATGTGTGCTGACCTTTTCAACGCATATACCCGCGCAGCTCCTCGACTGCGGATCCGCAACGTGACGCAGACGTCGGTGACGTTGGAGTGGGACAAGCTGTCGCTGGCCTCTGCTACGCTCCTCTCCTTGGACATTTACAGATCAGATCGGTGGACGCCCATGTCGCGCAGGTTGGCAGCCATTCCCAATCCCCTTCACAACACCTCCACCAAGCTGAGCGGGCTGGACGTGGATGCAGAGTACGGCTTCCACCTCGTCTTACAGACCACCGCAGGCACCTACGCTTCGCAGCCAGTCAAGGTCAAGACGCACAAGATGACCGATACGCACGGCATCGCCGTATGCTTTGGAAATGTCGCGGATCCGCAGCTCGAAGAAGCGGCCAAGGAGCAGCTCAAGGTGATGGGTGCTCGGTGGACGGAAAAGATTGCCATCGACACGACGCACTTTGTCTGCTCAGACCCAAGGAACAGGGAAGCAGCGTCTGAGGGCAGGACAGGTCCTGCACACGGCACCATGTACCTCAAAGCGACGCAGCTCAGCATACCGGTGGTGCAGCCACATTGGATCTTCGCGTGCGCGGAGCAAAAGCGGTGAGTGGGGTGGTGCGCCGTGTGTGTGTGTGTGCGACGATACTAGCTAACACCGTTGGCCTCTCTCTCTCCAGAATGGTGCCCATCTCCAGCTTTTACCTCGACCAAGAGCCTCCGAATGGTCACGCTGTCAGGGACTCCATTTCACGTCGAAGGCAGAGTCAGAGCGCCTCGTCTGAGCTAGCAGAGGGAGCGCGGGAAGGGCCCAGAGCAGAACCGGCAACGCCACAAACGGCGAGCACGGATGTCACGACACCTGGAGGTATTCCTAACATAGACGCCAGCTTGGCAGCTGCCTCGCTGCCTCCCATCGCCGTGGCAGAGCAAGGCACTGTGGATGGCGACGCGCTCAATGAGGAGGATCTCAAGACCCCACCGGCACCCGCACCAAAGGACTTGCCTCTGGCCGAGAATGCCGAGCCTCTCGATGATCGACGCACGGACGAGGCATCGACAGAGCATCACACGGGGACGGAAGCGCACGCACTCGAGCCGTCCACTAGCTCTTCGTCCGGTTTCAGCGATGTCAATTTGAATTCACCAGCTAGAATGGAAGATGAAGAGGAAGTGGACCTATCATGAGCCGTACATGTAACAAGATTTGTGCAATCACATCGTCATTGGTTTAGATGTAGCATGTCGGACAAGCGAGGACATGTGCCGCGGGCGACCGCTCTCGGCGGCGCCTGTCGTCGATTACCAAGCAATCTTGGAAGCCCATTTTGGCTCTTCGGCTTCAGGAGTCGACGCACCGTCCTGAGCATCTGTGTGCGACTTTTTGTCGGACAGCATCAAGTCGAAATCGACGTGCTCTTGAGCTGCAAAAAATGGTTGCTGATAGAAGATGTGATCCCCCTGAGACGTGCCCATTCCCGGCCTCGTCTTGTGCTGCGAGATGCCGAGCAGTGCGATGAGTGAGCGGATCAGAAGCGAGTGCAGGGGCTCGGAACTCACATCGAGAAACTCGTATTCAGGCAATATTTCCTTTAGCCTAGGCGAGCTCCAATCGAACCACGTTGACAAGTGGTATCCTGTCGACGAGTTCGAGGGCTGCACAAAGGCGAGAGGCGATGAGCATATATACTTTGCCCTAGCCGGAGCGCCAGGGCCGACACTCCCATCACCCTCACCTCTCGTCTTGGACGTCTACTCCTTGGAGCATCCATAAAGTAATTGATGAGCTCGCAAGCCTCTCTCCGATCGCCTCCGGCTTTGAGCATTTCGCGAAAGTCTTGCGTCGTGTGCTCCTTGGCGTGCACCTTGACGCAGCTAATGTACAGAGCCTGGCACAGCTGCTGGGTCAGCTCTCTCGGCGTCAATACATCCGAGCAGAGGTCGACGTGGCGTTCTGCAAGGGAGGCCGATGTCAGCTTCGATGTTTGGACGCGCGACGCGCCCCAGTACTCACGATTAAACTTTTCGTGAGGCGAATTGAGGATGAGTGGAACGATCGAGTTGAGATCTCCGATGCAGCAAAAGGGCAGCGTCAAGTCCGTGGGGGCCAGGACATCGAGCCAAAATCCACCATCGCGCTGCGGCGAGGGCACGAGGTGGAGCAAGGTGAGCGTTTCACGGAGGGCACTTACATTGTGCCGACTTGAAGGTGCTCACGCTGATGGGAACAATGATTTGGGCCGTCTCCCCTTCTAGAGCCAGATCAAAGCTGCGGAGGCTCGACGTGTGCCTGAGTCGTGCATCCTCTACGCAACAATGAATCCACTCACGGTACCTTTGTAGGCGCAAAGAGCAATGTCAACAGCTTTCTGAGAGTCCCCGCGAAACGTCATCAGCATCGACTCACCACATTGTCCAACGTCGTCACGCATTTGAGGTGTCCAGCGGCGTTCGCCTGTCGTAGCTTGACATCGATGGTGTTGCTCTTCAGTATTGACGCCGGAGGCTGGCTACAATCCGCACGGATAGTCTCGATCGCACTGTAGCGTCTCGTCAGCGCGTTGGAAGATTTTCGCTCTACCGCTGCAAACCCACTCGTAGATGACAACCTCGACGGAGCACTCCGCGGTGCAGAGCTGATCGATGAGGCCGCCAGGCATGTCCAATGCGTCCAGCATGCGGGGCGCTAGTGGCCAGCCCCAACTGCACGGGATAGATGTCAGCTTTCTGTCGTATCGGAGGCAAGCGCGCCGTGCTCACAGGCAGTATGGCGGAATCTGAATGGTGGATGAAGGAAGGAGGTTCGGCGTTTGGGCAGCCACGCATTTGACACCTCGCAACGACCCACTCACGAAGCACGCGTAAGCAGCTTTGAGAACGGCGGCGATGCTTTCAGGCTTTTGCAAGTCCGCTTCCACCACCTCTACGCCCAACTCCCGGAGCTCATTGGCGGCTCTTCCATTCAAAGAGCGCGTAACAGCGACGATGTGCCAGCGCGGGCTCAGATCTATGAACGCACCAGACCTACTGAGCCTGGTATGCATGGCGCTGATGACTTCGGCGGAGAAGCGGTCGTCGACCAAGAGAGCGCCACTTTGCGCCTGGGTCGATGAGGTGCCCATCTTGCCGCGGTCATCGCATCTTCGACAATTCTTGTCGAAGGTGTCCACATGCCCACTCGACACTGACGGATCACTGATGCTGTTGCGATGAGCACACAGAAGGCCGTGTGTGGGCGACGTGGAGTTTCGCAAGTCTAGAGGCAGGGAGGAAGCTGCCGCATAAGGATTGAGCAGCATCGGACGCGCTTCCTCTTCGTCTACGGCCTCGAACCCATCCGATCGGAAGCGCCGCGTGGACAATGTGGATGACTGACTTGCAGAGAGAGTAGGAGCTAGTCCCGATTCTTGGAAATCCTCGTCGGGACGAGACGGCGCCTCTTGTTGGTCCAGCTCCGCTTCAACGTAGGGATGTGGACGTGCTGCTGCTCTGAGATCCAATACGCTTGGGGAGAGCGGCAGCATGGCGGGCAGCAGGTGAGCATCTTCTTCGGTGAGACCATAGTCGGCGAGCATAGCCTTGCGTCGAGTTGCTTGGTAGGCATTCTCTATGCGCTTTTTCTGTAATAATACCGGTGCAAGAAGCGCCGAGTATGCTCAGTGGGCGCGCGCGCCTACGCGAGCGGGCAACGCACCTTGTATGCCTCATTGTCGTCCTGCAGGTCAGCATCATCAGACCGTCAGCCAGACAGGAGCAGCTGCGTGAGGTCTCGAGCAGACGCACCAGTAGACCACTGACGGCAGCAAAACCACGAGCAGAGGTTGCGCCAAAGATGACGACCTTTCTGCCCACGACACAGCAGCCGTCATCACTTTGCGAAGGACTGGGCGCATCGCCATCATCTGCGTCGAGGGAAAGGATCGGAGAGTCAATGATCTTGGCGCACCTCGAAAGAGATGGAGAGGCTTCATCTTGGTGCGCCGGGTGTTCGGAGCTGAGCGCCGCAGCGTTGATGAGACGATCTGGTGTTCCAGGAGACGTGTGCGCCGTACCGGTGCGACTGCTCGGCAGGGAGCTTGCACCGCGTGCCTGTGCCTGTGCCTGTGCATGACGCGGATCAAAGTAGGAAGCTGCGCTGCTGGTGGCCATGATGTGAGCCAAGGTGGAGGATGCTTCCCACGGAGAGGTGATGGGCGAAGGGGTTTCATCATCCGATCGAGCTGCATCCCGCTCCCTACTTCGACGAGATGTTGGGCTATCGGCAGTTCGACAAGCCGTCGGCTTGTGGTGCAGCGAAGGGTGACGAGCAAAGTGCATGGCGCAGGCAGTGCAGCCAGAAGCGGAGGGGGGTGTGTATGTGTGACGATTTTGGTGGTGAGCCGTGGGTGGGGGACGATTTCGGTGATGGCAGCCGTGCGGAGCTCCGAGGTCTGAAGCAAGGAGTTCTGCTGAGCGTCGACAAAGTGCTGTGAGCGTGCGTGTGTGCGGTGCGTGCGTGCGCAGACGGTGAGCTGAGCTTATTCAGCTCTGTTAGGCGCGAGGAGGAGGAGGGAGGCCAAGAAGCAGCTACAAGATGGGCGGGGACGAGTTGATGATCAGCATATATGCGGTCATGAGTGGCGAGTGCTACGAGCTGTGCGAGGGTGAGAGGCTGTTCGGCTGCGAACGTCATCAGCGGTCAGAAGCAATCACGAATCTGAATCATCCGCACATGGATGCATGCTCTCTGACGTTGAGGTCCAGCAGCACGCGGCGTCAGCACGCGGCATCGACTCGTCTGCCTCGATGCGCAAATATAGGCCGCTGGTAAAGCAAATGGCGGTCATGCTGGGCTCAATTTGCATCAACAAATGACCATCAAGCGCCTGTCTACGCCGCCTCTACACCGCGAGACTCGTGACTGCGCAGAGTCGCGTCGAGCAGCGGGGCCCGGTTCGTGAGTACGCGCTGATGGATGAGTTTGCACGAGTTGTAAATCATCATTCAAAAGTTGCAAGGGAATTGAGTGATGCGGCGTGGCGTACCGCAGTCGTGAGTGGAGTCACACTACACTCCCATCGCCGTCACTTAATTGCAGCATGCAGCCATCGCCCTTCATTCGTGATTGCCGAGGTCGAAAGTGATTACGAAGCGTGCGTGGGGCACTCGATCGTGCCCATGCATGCGTGACCTGATCTCGTACGTGCGAGCGTGCTGTCCATGCATGCCCTCACAATTGTCAGCAGTTTTGCTGGGGATGGTCTCTCCGCTGTTCTTGCGCCCCCAGTTGATTGCAAGATGGCGCACGCCTTTGTCCCGTGCCCTGCCGCCCCCGCGCCCGCCTGTGCGATGCATGCTGGGTCAGGCGTCGACGCTTCATCGCGTGTCGGTTCCGACCGCGTGTACCATTCGTCTTTTGCTGCTTTGAGCATCGCCGGCGCGACACGTAACTCGTGTCTTGCTGCGGCCGTCAGCTTTGCCAAATCAATATTCGAAGCTGCGAGCGCCTTTCGAGCTCGCGATTACGTGAGTGTCCAAAAGGACACGCTGCTGCATGGTCAATACCAGCAGCGGTCATGCAGCACTCACCACTCGATCGCTCGCGCATTGCTACGTAAAAGTGGGTTCGATTACCTAGCGCAAGGCTCAGCAAGTCTGACTTTCATGCCGATTGGCGAAGCGACGTGCTGCTTCTCAATACCCGAGCTCGATTAAATCGCGTTCCCTCATCAGCAGCACCGCAGAGTCGCCAGTCGTAGCGTCTCCTTCTTGAAAGGAACATCGAGATTCCGATCGACGCCAAGTCAGTGATTCTCAGTATCGATCCTTGAATGTGTGAGCGCACAAAGATCTATTGAGATGTCATATCTACTGAAGCGGAGGCGGCTTGCGCCTACTTGCAGGCGATTTCGCATCACCACTTGAGCCTGATGCCTCGTCATGCGCTACACCGGACGAGTCTGACTCAGACACGGCGAGCGCGCTGTAGGACGTGTTCGTCGCTCTGCTGTCCTGCGTTGCGGCACCCTGTGCTGTTTCGTTGCTGAGGGGTGTGGATGGCGTGGCTGGTCCACCGGGCGTTCGAGCCGCATTGCGGGGAGGTCGATTGCGGGGCGGCCGTGCTGGTGGTGTTGCGATGGAGCCTGGTGTATGAGCTGCTGGAGTTGTCGCACCACTTGGAGACGCAAGTGGTAAATGAGAAGTGCTGCTTCGAGCAGAAGAGTGCGAGTGATTTGAGCCAATGATGGAAGGTTGTCTGGACAGCGCCTGCCCATGCTTTGTCGATCCTGCCAGCTCTAATCCTCCCGCGTCCGAGTCCACCGAATAGAACGGTGTCTCGTCTTCTTTCGGCTCGGGCTGCAGGGCTCGATACTCTGGGTCCGGGCTCTGAGCAGCTGAATCGAATGCATCACCTTGCAGAGAGGATGACGAGGCTTTTGATATGATGGACTCGTGGCGAACGTGTCCCAAAGGCGCTGTGATATTTGCTGCAGGAGCCAGGGCAGCCGAGGTCGACGTCAAGGGACTTGGCACAGGTGAAGTGTGAGAGACAGCAGCGGTCGATGCCGACGCTGCATCCATCGGCGGTCCTGCAGTCTCGATGGCTTGGCCCACCTGCGCCGACTCATCGTCATCGTCTTTGGCGTCATGAGTCTCTCCCGGCTCTGCGACTAGATGAGAGATCAACTCATCCGCTCGAGCTTCATCCAGTCCTTCTCCAACGACATTTCGGGGCGAAGCTTCTCCGGCAGGTCGACTGAGATCATCGGCACCAACATGGGCGCGTTGAGCATCAAAGCTTCCATTGACTGGCGCAGTTTGAGGCTGCGAAGCCGCCTCGTAGGGCGGCGCTGACTGCGCGGTCTCAGCCAGACTATGCTTCTCCAAACCGAGCGTGTCGGTTGCGCGAGGAGCTGATATCTCTAATACTTGCACCTCATCCAAGTGATCAGAGCTCGCTGCAGGTACGCTTGCACTGGGTTTCTCGATGGGCGAGGGCGGCAAAGCTGTGTATTGAGCTTTCCTAAAGTCTGGCGTGTATGGCCCGTCCATGTCTATCTGGGATGTGCGACGCTTGGAAGCGATGGTCGGCTGCGTGCGGAGAAAGAATGCGACTTTGTGGTCTGTGCGGATCGAACGGCTTGATGGGTCAGACCGGCAGGCGGCGCAGCGTGGTGCAGCGCGGCGGCACTCACGAATAGGCGGAGGTGGCAGCTTGTACACTGCTTCGCGTTCCTGCTGCTCGAATTTGAGATCCTCCTCGTCTGGAATACCGGCGTCCTCGAGCGCTTCCAGCTCTTGGGGCGTTGGCGGCAGTCTCAACCGTTCTCCCTCTCGAACAAAATCCTCCTCTTCGTCCTCTTGCTCATCGACTGCTGCACCATTCGCACTCGCCAGACGCTCTGGTTGCTCTGAGGGCTGCCCTCCTACGCTGCTTGTGGAAGGGGCATGCGATTCCTCGTCAAGGGAGGGATCTGTGCTCCTCGGACTGCTGGTCTCCGCAAAGGCAGTCGTGCCGGCGGGAGCGGAGCGGGCTTTGCGAGAAGCGTGCGGGCCCAGTCGCTTCATCACCTCCGACTCGGGGATGCGCACGACATCGTAGACGGTCTTTTCCAGCGCGCCTCCTTGCGCAACGCCAGCCTCTGCATCCCGAAGTGCTCGATGCAGTCCCGCGGCCGCAGGCGGCATGCGCACCTTGCCAGTCAAAATGTCTGCGAGGAGCGGGCACGTGAGCAGAACGAGCGCCGGCAAGACTGGCGCCGGCAAGACGCGCGACTCACCACCGGCTTTGATGCCAGGCCAATAGTAAAAACGTTCATTCTCATCGAAACGGTCGATGAAGACTTGACCCATCATCTCTACGCCCGCATACATGCCCCTACTCCGGACGCTAGGCGTTACACTCGATCGCGTCAGCGCTGAGCTCGAGGTGCAGTAGCGACCGAACTTACTAGCTGTATATCGGTGCGCGCTCCATGCCGCCTTCCAAACTCGTGCCTGCACCCACGGGGCCTGCAGCGATTGCGGTCTCGGCGCCCACCGTGAACTTGTGCGTCCTAAAGCTGTCCATTGCCTTTTCCGTGTTCTGTTGCGTGGCGGCGAGCAAGGAGGCGTGAGAGGTGGCGCAGCAATGCATTCATTCACGCGCGACTCACGATTAGGAGCACCACGTCGAAAAAGTCGATGCCTAGCAAGAGGCCAGCTGAAAGATTGTTTGGAGATACGGCGCTGGGAGCAGACCAGCTTCCGTCAGGCAAGCGTGCCATCACCACCCCAGCACCGCCTGCTCCTCCAAATGGCGCGATGCCCGATCTCATAGAGGAGTATATGCACACTCCCTTGGCGCGTTTGATAGCGTTGGGCGGCTGCACGCGCATGGGCAGTGGAGACAGACGCTCAGCAAGGTGTATAGCCAAGCGAGCAGCGAATGTCTGACTGCCTGCCTCACAATCTTTTTGAGCACTTTTCTCTTTTTTCGAACCCAGCCTCCCTTGCTGTCCTTGACATCCTCTTCCTTTTCATCCGTCTGAGGTATGCCTTCCACCGTGAATGCGCGGAGTATCCGCTCGCACTTTTCGATCTCTAGCACCATGTCGTTCGACTTTGGCCAGAACCGCTCGCCGCCAATCTCTGCCGAGGGTGCGCGAGCGAGGGAGTGTCAGCCGAGGCGAGCGTCACTGCATCACTGCGGCATCGCGTACTCACTTGCGGATGCCGCATTGGCATAGCCAGAAGCCCAATCGCTGAGCTTCATGCCCTGGGAGGGAACCGTTTGCGAGCGCCATGATGTGAGCGAGACGAAGCGGCAAGTCTGGCATGTATGCGCGGGGCGCTCCCTCACCTTATCGAAACCTGCCTTGCCCCACCGACTCCATCTCGACCCTTGAGGCGCCGTCGCGCTGCTCGACGGAGTGGTGGATGGCATTGCGAATGTCAGCGGAAGCAAGCGTGACTGATCGCGGTGATGGAGATGAAAGAGGCAGAGGTCACAAGAGGGCAGACGCTACAAGAGGGCAGACGCCACAAGAGGGCAAAAGTGGAGCAGTGGATTGCGCTGTGTGAGCGAGTGCCTGACCTGTATTCAAATTGTGATTGAGTACACGTCGCGCTCCACACGTCGTGCAAGCTTCGCCGGGCACAAGCGTAGGTATATATGCAGCAGCAGGGGCAGCAGCAGCAGCAACAGAGCAAATGTCTCGGAAACGCTGACCCGCAACGTTGATCGAGCAATCACTGAATGCTGCAGCGAGACAGAGTGATCTGCTGGGCGCGGTGAGCTAGCTATATAGCTATAGCGAGCTGCACCTGCATGCATGCATGCCTTTCCGTTGAGCTCAAACGTCCAGCCGCGGCTGGCGCGCGCGTGTGCGTGTGCGTTCAGTCACGCAGATCCTCCCCACCTTTCAGGGCGCGCTCACGATTCGGCAGCTCGCTCGTACAGCCTCTGTCACGATTCAGGCGCGGCTGCCACTCATGACTGCGACCGGCCCATTTCCGAGCCGTGGATATGCCACGATCATGATGAGGGGCGATACATCTCAAGACGTGGGTGATGGCGGTGCGGACCGTAATCAGAATCAAGGTTATGCCGACCCGTCTGGAAGTCCCGGGCGAGTGTACAGCTTCATTGGCTATGCCATCGCGTTCGTGCGCAAAAGAAAGCCCACACAGCCACATGATTACGCGTCACGTGTGCAGAGCCCTGTGCGCGGCATCCATCCAGCAAGCATGGATGGCGTGCATCTCACGTACGCGCTGGGTAGGCGCGCGCTAGTCGTCGCGCGTGAGTAGGAGTGCGTAGTCACAAGTTCGCATAAGCTGTAAACCGACTTCCTCTGTTCTGGGCAGCGTCTCACGGCGATGCACGCACGGCACACCTGTTCTGTTCCCTACAGCCGCTCTTGTCCATCACACGAGAGCTGCTGCTTCATCATCATTCACGCTTCCCTCTCCCCCCGAGTCCGCGCGAGCACGTGAACGTATCTCTTCTCTGCCTTGCTTGCTCAGCTCACACCTTGGCTCGCACGCACCACCCACTCCCGGGCTTGGCTCGTCTGGTCAACGCTTGACCTTAGCATCAGCATCAGCAGCAGCAACGGACATCAACCATCGTCTTTTGCGCCTTTGACATTCCCTCTGCTGGCAAACGAGTCAACGCCGCTTGAGGGAAAGGGGGGGGCAGCGCCAGCCATGTCCAACTTTTTCAGGTCCATGGGTCGCTCATCGCGGCCCAAAAAGTCGCCCACGCTGCCCGGCATGCCCTTTGAAGCGGCGCAAGCGCAGATGCTGGCCAATGCGACGGGAGGTCACAATGTCGGATTGAACGGCAAGGCGCTGTACATGTGCAATCCGTTTGTGAGGTCAGCGCTTATCAAGGGCAGCTTCAAGACCATCGTTGCGCTGCCAAAGTATGTAGACCCAAAGGAGTGGGTGGCTGTCAATCGTGAGTGGGAGTGGAGTGGGAGTGGGAGTGGGAGTGGGAGTGGGCGGGGAAGTGGGCGCGGGCGGGGAAGTGGGAGTGGGAGTGGGAGTGGGCCGTGGACGTAGGCGCGGGCGTGGGCGCGGGCGTTCATGCGCACAAGACCACGCTCTTCTGCATGCTGACACCGGGAGTTGCCCCCAGTGTTTGACTTTTTCAACAATCTCAACCAATTCTACGGCGTCGTCACTGAGTTTTGCACGATTCAAAACAATCCCACCATGAGTGCGGGTATCGGGTGAGTGGAGGTGGAGGTGGGCGTGGAGAGGGGAAGGCCATCTCGTATGCGGATGACTGAACATCCATCGCTGTGCTCCATCGCTGTCCAGACTCGATTACACGTGGATCGATCAGAATAGGAAACAAGTCAAGCTGCCCGCGCCGCAGTACATCGACTATGTGATGACTTGGGTGGGAGGACTGCTGTCGGATGAGGCCACATTCCCCACAAAGGCGTGTGAGTGACGCCATGAGTGCGAGGATGATGCCAGGCACATGCTCACCTCGCCGCACCCCGCTGCACCCCGCTGCACGCAACCAGCTCGAGAGTTTCCGCAGACGTTCTTGACGACTGCAAAGCACGTCTACAAGCAGCTGCTGCGCGTCTTTGCCCACATTTACCACGCGCAATTTCCCTATCTGGTGCACTTGTGCTGCGAAGGTCACTTCAACAGCCTCTTTGCCCACTTTATCGCATTCGGAGCCGAGTTTGACTTGTTCAACTTCAAGGAGTTCAAGGGACCCCAAGGCGCTCCTTATCCTGGCGTATGCGATCTCATCGAAAAGTGGATCGAGATGGGCATCCTGGACGAGGCTGTGCTCAAGTAGGCGAAGAGGAAGGGGAGCGCGAACGGCGAGATGCGTGCCGGGAGCGCGTGCCAGGAGCTCGCGCCGTCAGTCTGCGATCGTCGATTGAAGAGTCCGATGACGACGCCATCTCGTCGCGCTAGTCACGACGTATCAAGGCGTCTGCACACAACGGTCACCGGCCATTCAGGAAGTCTTCGGACGCTGAAGGTCAAGTGCCGGCGTCGATGGAGACCATGCTCCCGCTAGCTTACCCGACGCGCGCGCTGCTCAGCGCTGCTGAATGTACATGTACGCGACAATCATTACAGACCGATTTGTGATTCGTGATCGATGTGATTCGCTTGAAGCGTGCATCCGATTTGTGATTCGTGATCGATGTGATTCGCTTGAAGCGTGCATCCGATTTGTGATTCGTGATCGATGTGATTCGCTTGAAAGCGCGCATTCGGTGACGCCGAGGATGGGGAGTAGCGTCACGTGTGAATGAATGCATCGCCGCTGCCACGCGGTGCGGTGGAGGTGGAGCGTGCAGCCTGGCAGTCACGAGTATAGCGTTGAATTGCGCTGCCGCGACGGACATGTGCGCGGCCCACGACTCTTGTGTTCACCCCACCCATCACATCGCAACACTCGCACAGTCAAGGGAAGCTGAGCGCATCCGCACCCGCACCCGCGCGCGCATGCCAAAGCTGTTTCGATCATCGTTCGGCCCACGCAGCCAGATACGCCTGCTGCGACAATCGTCGACAGCCCTCTTTCGAGCTCGCAGCTTTCTGACGCGCACCGGACCGTCTAGCAACATGTGGATCACCGCCTCTGAGCTGGCAGAGAGGCTGACACGAGCTTCAGCGGGTCAGCTGCACGCATCGGATCCGCAATTTTCCACAGCCATCATCGATGTGCGTGACGACGATTTCGAGGGAGGCAACATTGTCGGCTGCAGGAATGTGCCCAGCCGAATCTACAGGGACAGCGTCAAGGGCGTGGTCAGGGACGTGCAGCAGTGTGAGTGCAGTTGCGATCCGCGTCGCCACGTTGCTCAAATTCCACATACCGCAGACCCCCTTGTCGTCTTTCACTGTCAGCTCTCGCAGTCCAGGTGGGTTCGAATAATGCGCATACAGGCGCAAGTCGATCACCGCTGAGGTCCCGCGATTTCCCCATAGAGGACCAACCGCAGCGCGACTTTACATCGACGAACGAGTATCGCAACTCGAGGCTGGCAAGCTGAAGCCCTTGCGGGAGCCCAAGGAGTCGGATGATGAGATTGGAAAGTGTATCGAGGGCGGTCAAGAGATTCGCATCTTGAGGGGCGGCTTTTCTTCCTTTGGGGAAAAGTACAAGGTGAGTGGCGGCAGCGCAGAGGCAGAGTGCGCGTTCGAATAGAGTGCTCGAATACCGATTCTGCGGTGGTCGAGTCGTCGAGCCATGCTGCTGCGCAGTCCGTGGCAACTGCTTCTAGTCGGTCTATTCAACGTCGCCCCCTCACGTCCGCAGGCGAACCCTAAGCTCGTCGAAAATTGGGATCAAGAGTCTCAGGATTATCGATGAGCCGCGCGCGGATGCATGCCATCGAGATGGCCTTGCGATGGATGATGCCCCCTCGCGGCGTGCCACTTGTATTTCGTGCTCTAGCTCTAGAACCTCAAGATGCGTCTGGCCCAAGCCGAGCAGGAGCAGGATCTTCCACATACATTCTGCGGCCGGCGTGTCATTCGGGAGGCATGGGGCGTCAGTCGCCACCTGCACTCGATTCGAAGAGCGTCACCTCTCTATCTTGCACCCCAATAGTACCCGCTCGTGGAGCGATAGGAGAGTCAATAAAGTGCTATTGACACCGCAAAGCCACAGAGACAAGTTCGCTCGAGCGCTTGCTCTTATTCGAACTTGGGCTAACGATGCGTCCGGCTCGCCGGTGCTCTGGATTGTGGATGGGTTGAGCATGATTGATACGTATTGATCGACCACTCGTCGATGTCGCATTTGAACAGCGCGACGCCTACGTATGTGAGGGTTTAAGGAATCGTCCGCTTGCGCAGTCGCGTTTGCCAGGAGCATTCTGGCTTGTGAGACGACCGAGCAAGGGGCCAATAGATTGGAGAGCGCAGCACGCACGGTCTATTAGTGGCGTATGTCGGAGCGATGATCGCTGCAGCAATGCTTGACGGTAATTGTGCGGAGGAGAATGAGGCCACGACGAGCATGGGCTGAGCAGGATCGATGATGATGCCGGGATACCCCCCGCGAAGGGCAGAGCGATAGTGCGAGTCTCGGTGCGTGCCGTCGCCGCCCCCATAGCGCCGCGATTCGAATGACGCTTGCGCTTGACCCGCATGCCCCCTGCTGCAGATGGATGCATTCGAGGCACGTGCTGAGGCATCGCTCGAACCATCGCTCGAAGCATCTCTCGAGGCTCGACGGAAGGCTCGCGTCGCGCTACGCGTCAAGGCTCGCGTCAAGTCTTGCGTCGAGGTACGCGTTGAGCCTGGGCGGAAAGCACGTGTCAAGGCTCGCACCAAGGCACGGCGCAAGGCACGTGACAAAGCTCGACAAAAAGGCTTGCCGCGAGGTTTCCGCGCGAGGGCTTGGCTCGACCCATCGCTCGAAGCATTGCTCGAGGCATCGCTCGAAGCATGGCTCGAAGCATCGCTCCAAGCATGGCTCGAAGCATCGCTCGAACCATCAGTCGAGGCATGGCTTGAGGGTTCTCTCGAAGCATGGCTCGAACCATCCCTCGAGGTTTCATTCGAAGCATCGCTCGAACCATCAGTCGAGGCATTGGTCGAGGCATTGCT